TCGGTTTTAGTTCTTTTAGACAGAGTTTCTGACACAAGGCATCAAAGTCTACTGAGCCTTTTCCTGCAGCACGTTCCAGCTGAAATCCCCAGGCAGCAGTCATTAGGGTCAGGCTCCCTTTCGCTTTGACCTGCTGATGACTGGGGTAGCACTTTATGTAACAGAAGACTGAAAAACTTCCTTTTTTTCCAAATGATTTTGATGCTTTCTATTACACTGGAGAGTCCAAGGTTCAGAGGAATTTAAGCTTCCTGAGAACAATTTTTTTGTTGTTGTTTTGCCTGTACAGAGTATTAATAAAGTGGGGGCCTGACCCTGGCTTTGACTTCTAAACATCTCAGTATTACCAGCAAGGCTTGAGGATACAAAAGCTGAACTGAATTTCTCCAGTCAAATGATCAGTTGTAGAGAAGCGCTCATTAATGGAAGTATGGCTGCTGTAACACAGAGGGCTCAGGAGAATGGAGCTGTATATAGACCACAGGCACTTCGAGATTTTGAGAACACCACAGCACCTATCATGCAGCTAATTTAACTGGCCCAAAGGAAGGCAACAGAGACTTCCATCCATACCTTATTAAAAGAAGGTGGTAGCTGCCAGTATGCTTATTTTATGAAGCACAGCTGATTTCTGTGGAAAACCAAAATTTTTTCCTTATCTAGGATCAGATCATTTCTCCCCTGCCATTACAGAACTTGAATTTGTAGTTCTGAATCTGTTGCCCTCCTTTTTTTCCCCTCTTCATATTGGAAATATAAAGGGACTTGTGTGCAACTTGCTAGTTGCCAAAACAAGCTCCAAGGCAAGTTTCTCATCAGCCCTTTCTCTTTTTGCCAATTTGTTTAGGAAATGGATGAGGTCTTTTTTTACCTTTTTACCACTTAGTCATACAAAAAGGTCACTGCTGTGCCTTCTTGTATTAGTTGTCAGTGCTTCTTTGGTGCCTGTTTCACAGGCAGGTGAGTGACAAATCCATGCCTCCAAGAGCAAGTCCAATTAATTCCAGATAACCCTCCCCAGTTGATGAGACCAATGAGAGGGAATGTTGCAAGATGTGAGCTATGATGCCCCCACAGTATCCAAAAGTTATTCGAATTTGTCAAATCCATCCAGATAAAGCCTGCAAGTGTTGAGGAGTGTCTTTGATGAGGACTTCTTGTGTGGAAAAGTAGAGACTACCGTTTTGATAGCCCACAACAGATTAAAAGGTACCTCTGTGGTTTTCAAAAGCTTTCCTGATGACCTTCCATGGTGACAATTTCATTTTTCTCAAGACTGACTCAGCTGACTAATGAAAGCAATGGTGACACTGTTCGTGAAGCTCGTATTAAGAAATCCTGTAAAGGAAGAATGAAATCAGGGAAATACTTAAGACGCAGAAGATTTGCTTAGCAGGAACAGTGTCTGTGTTGCTGGCAACAAGCTTAGTGTTTCTGGTCCCAGTGCTTATTTGGAGGAATATTTGCCTGCTTCACTGCTCCATCAGTGACTGATGCCAGTGGCATGGCTCTGGGCTATTTATAAGGCCTTGGGGAAATTGCTGTGAAACAAGTGGCAACCAATTAGTATAATTCACATGCTGGTGCCTGAGTTAACACTGACAACAAGAATCTGAAGCTGCTTGCAGCAATGAAGTTCTTGAAGCACATCCAGAAAGTATTAACATGCTGCACGCCAGGTGGTGAGAAGGTCACTGGGACAGAGATAATGAGCAACTGGAAAAATATTCACATGGGAACTTTTATCTGCTTTAATTCTACCACCATTCCAGCTTTGTTCTGAGAATTGCTTTGCTGTGGAAGCTAATCAGGCTTTTCAAATACCTTTAATCACCAAAGTATAGAAGAATAAGCATTTATCACTGATTTAGCCTGCTTGTTTTTTGTGTACCCCACATAGTCTTCGTTCTCCTTTAGACAACACTCTCTGCAAAGTCTCCTTTAAATAGTCGGTTGCACAGGCTGAGCTGAGCAGATTTCACCTGTGAAAGACGCACCAGAAAGAAATGTAGAAAGGTAAGAGGTTAACTTGGAATGTCCTGACTAGGCAGGATGGTTTTTTTCTGAGCTCATTGGGCTCAGCTGAGTAGCCAGGTCAACACAGCAAGAGCATAGATGTAGTGTTCAAGAAGAGACCACTGGTTTTGACTGTGCTAAAGAATAGTTTTACAGTTCTGCCAAGGCACGTGTTGTGGTTTAACCTGGCAGGCAGCTGAACACCACACAGCCACTCGCTCACCCTCCCCCCCAGCATGGGATGGGGGAGGGAAGTAAAACCCGTGGGCTGAGATAAAAACAGTTTAATAAAACAGCAGAGGAAAACAATAATAATGGTAAGAGAATATACCAAACAAGTGATGCACAACGCAACTGATCATCACCTACTGACCAATATACAGCCCATCCCCAAGCAGCGATCTCTGCCCCCTGCCCAACTCCCCCCAGTTTATATACTGAACATGATGTCCTATGGTATGGAATATCCCTTGGCCAGTTTGGGCAGCTGTCCTGGCTGTGCCCCCACCCAGCTTCTTGTGCACCTGGCAGAGCATGGGAAGCTGAAGAGTCCTTGACCGGTCCTAAGTACTGCTTGGCAACAACTAAACCATCAGAGAGTTATCAACATTCTTCTCATCCTACACCCAAAACACAGCCCTATGCCAGCTGCTGGGAAGAAAATTAACTCTATCCCAGCCAAAACCAGGACAGCATGGACAAAATTGCTCCCTGCTTTATCTCTATTCACATTTCTTAGTGTTGTTGACTGATGAGCTGAGTGGACTTACATCAGAGAGAATGGTGGGCCCCAGTGCTGCTGTTTACACTGGAGTTCAAAATGGTAGTCCTGCTTTTCCAAGCCAAAGCTTAAGTTATACTGACCTCACTAATGATGCTGATGAAAGGCAAAACCAGTGTTTCTCGTACATTTGAAAGCTGATCCCCCATTCAGAGAAGAGAAAACTGATCTCCTGCACCCTGTTTCAACACCATGTCTTGGGAAAAGCATGTTCATCTACCTTTTATGTGACAGCTGAGCTTCCGCTTTCTCCATCCACCAGTCAGCTTTTCGTACAACCTCCTGGCTATATGCTACACTTAAGAAAAATTGAACTGAGCAAGGTCAAATGGAAGTCTGCTGTCTTGATGAAGCACAAAGATGATGGGAAAACATCAGTGTGCGTCAATGGGAAAAGATATAACAAGTGGGGGATGAAAAAACCAAGTTTTTATGTGTCCAAGGAGGAGGATAAATATGACAGATGAAACCACTAATCTGTACTTCACACTGTCCCTTTAACAGAGGGAAGATGAAGCTTCAAGGCAGCTGCATATCCTATCTTATGGTGGATTAGCACCATTTAAGTTTGTGTACAGCATCCAAATACTTCAGCTGGAATGCTCCAGATCCAGGGCTCCCTATATTTTTTCAAGTGCTTACGATTACTTTACAACCACTTCTGCTGACTGCCTTCACCAAAAAGCAGGCAGGCATGGAGCAGTTGTTGCCAATGCATTTGGAAACATCGTCAGAGCCAAGAAATTAAGCATTCATGGCCTTTGTGAGAGGTTCAAGAATATCAGTACAGCCAGCCTGTCTACTTTCCATTGAATACCTAAGCTTGGCCAATTATTCAGCACTGGATGTGCCATACAGGCCTGCAAAGAAAGAGGGGAGGGAGCTGATTCAATCTGGGAGAGATGGCACTTAGTAACCTATCTGTACCTCACAGACCTCAATCTTACATTGGCTCAGAGTTGGCTTCAAACTTCTTAGCAGATATACTGCTGGTAGCATAGCCACAACAAAACAGAGGTCAGGGCAAGCTGCAAACCCTGCCTGAAACACTAGGCGAACACTTGCGAGTAGACCTGTGTGATGTTCCCTGTATTAATGTTACTGCTCCACTTGACATGACCAAGCAAAATACATGTAAGAATGCTTAACCTATGTTGACACAGGTCATAGAGACACCTTGGCTTGCCCTTAGCCTCCTCCCAAGTTACATACACACCCATTCTAAGGTAACGTTTGATACCTAAATTCTTATGCTCTTTGACATAAGGACAGGCCCACATAGATTGGTACAGCTTTCCCAATGGCAAAGGCATGACTCCAGCTGGGGTCACCGGTCACATTTTTTACTTATTTTTCTCTTCAAGGTCATTCTACAGAGAGTGGGACTCTGAGGAACCTTGTCCTTTGAGGTCGGGGTGGGGTTTTTTTGGTGGTGGTGGTTTTGAGGCAGTGGGGGCAAAGGAAGCGTTTTACCTATTAAGCTAGTGCTATGCTGCATCACCAAGGAAGATTTACAGAACAAATGAGAAGGCACAGAGCTATATACCAACATGAGTATTGTAGTTCAAAAACTGTGATGTTTTGTCAATTTGTGTTTCAGGCTGGTTTTCTCACCAGGTGGTCTACAGGTCCCTGACTTTAAGGAGCCTGCAGGTGGCAGCTAAGAAAAGCCAGCCTGCTGTCTTTACACTAATGGGACCTGTACCTTTAGTGGGAAGTCTCTTGGGATCCTGCAAATGTAAAAATATTTGGAAACAACTGCTCTGCATTATGTCCCCGAGAGTCTTGTTCAAGTTCTACTTTAAATATCAGCTAGTTAGCTATAGCAGTACACAGAGCACATTAATAGGGAAATCAATGTCAAGAGATGAAGGTGCAAGCCCCCCAACACAGAAAGAGCACCTTAATGCCAAGAGCAGAACTCTCCTGACTTCTGTCCACGTGAATAGACCCTATAAAGAGCTTCTGCCTGACCTAGTATTACTGGAAGAGTTCTCACTAGCAGTGTTGCTAATGTGTAAGTCTCTAATTTCTCCAAAATGGGACAGAGGAATCCTCTGCTGCATTATTTTGTGTTATTTTGATTTCCTGCACAGTTTTTCCAAATTCAGTTCTTATTTCTCTCCACCTAGAATGTGCTTGAAGTTTTAGAAAAATTCTAGCTTGTTTGTTCATTGTTTTTCTTGCCCTCCTCTCTCCACAGAATCTTATGGCAAGAGCCCTGTATGATAATGTCCCCGAATGTGCAGAAGAGTTGGCCTTCCGCAAAGGAGACATTTTGACAGTGATAGAACAGAACACCGAAGGTCTTGAAGGATGGTGGCTCTGCTCCTTACACGGCCGGCAAGGCATTGTTCCAGGCAACCGTGTGAAACTCCTGATAGGCCCGGTGGTACAGGACAGTCCTTCTGGCCAGGATATGGCCAATTCAGGATTGATGCATCAATCCTTCAACCAGCAAAAGATCTACCAGGTGCCAAGCTCACATGCCTCAGCACGGGACCCTGTCTACCAAGTGCCACCTTCCCATCTGAATCAGGGAATTTACCAAATACCCACTGGTCATGGTCTAGTGGGACAAGACATTTACCAGGTGCCACCTTCCATGCAGAGATGTATCGACAGTCCAGCTTTGACTAACAAGGTGCGTGCGTTTGCTTTCATGTCATAGCTCCAAAGCAGGTCACTTGTGCTGACCAGCAGTGAAGTGGTTAATGTCTAGTGATAGCCTGTGGACTATATCTATATATCCTTCCTATATCTTAACTATATAAAGTTGCATCAGTAACCTTACTGCTGTGGGAGGAAGAGAAAGGCCCAGTTCTTAATGGCTTGCTTAATTTGCAACTGAGATACACAGTAGAACATTTTGGAGCTGTGCTACCGCAGCTGCTAAAGGTGAGGGGAAGTATGTGATCCTGTGTCCTCACAGGCTCCCAAGGGAGGCTGAAGTACATCTGGCCTATGGCATTCTTGCATTATATGCTCAAGAGAGCTGCTGTGATAAGATTAACTCTCCCACAAATTAATGAACAGTTACATCATCTGCCCAAGTAATTTTTGTTTAATTTAAAATGATGTACTGCCTTGCTGCAGAAGTCTCAATGGGTCTAAACGACAAAGAGAAAGCAGTGATTGATGAGACAAGGGCCGTGCTTGGAAGAGTGAGGGAACAAGATGATGACGTTTTAATACCAAACCAAAAGTTTATGAGAGTGCACTTGATCTTTATCTACAGCTAAATTTCTTGATTGAAAGTGGGAGCTCTAACAGCTCCATGTTGCAGCCATCGTTGCAGCAGCTGAAAGCTCCCAAAGATCCAGGGAGAGGTGTTGCATTATGTGGGTCCCCCCTTATTCCTGCCGTCCCTCTAGGCTCTCCCCATCTCCTGTCACTCCCTCATTTGACCTTCACAGGGAACCTGCCAGGTGCCCTGGTAGCACACAGCGTGTTGGTGGCTAAAAAGGGTTAGGAAAGGTACCTGAGGGAGGAAGGAGATTCTCCTGGCCTTCCAGACCTCTTATTGCGGAGCCTAAAAAGTTCCTACAGTCCCTCTATTCCCAGCTCAACATTTCCAGCTATTACCATCCTCGTTACCTTTAGAACTTAAAGCATAGTATTTATATCCAAGTTACGTGAGCAGATGAGGTCTCTGTCAGGAAGATCCTGACTGGTTTATACTTTCACCTCCTGATTTAGATTGGCAAGACAGTCTGTTTTGGGATTTTCCCCCGCCTCAGTCTTTTTCATATCATGCCTTTGGAAGACATCTTCTAATGCTTTTATTTCCTTGTTATCATTTAATTTTCTTTGATAAGAATGGATGTTTTTTCCTTCTGAGCAAGAGAAAAAGATCTGTGAAATCATTCCAAGTCAAGTTATAAAGAGGTTCATTTGCTCAGCTTTTCCACAGTTATGCTTTGTAGGGCATGCAGGAAGATAAAATGAGAAAAACTGCACTTGCTGCAGAGGTAGAGATAGGATCTTTGTTGGAGTAATTATGTGGGTTTTCTTGTGAAATCCCACATCTTTTCTTTCCTTTTCTCCTTTCCATATGGACTAGATCTAGTGAAATCTTTTTCAGGGGCAGTACAGTTTACCTATCCACAGTAGCATTTAGATACCTTCCAAGGTAGTTAGTGAACACCTGGTAAACAGCCTATTGACGTGACAGCACAGAAGCAGAAGAGATCACATTTTAGTGTATGTCTGCATGAAACATTACACCACGATGCAGAGATGCCTCATCTGGCTGGTTTGGGCCACAGGAGAAGCACCACACTGCAGAGCTGCACTGAAGTCAGTTGGGAAGCCTTAGATGTTAGCTCAGAGTAAGTGCTATGTAGTTTAATTTTAGGATCTGACCTGCCTAGATGGCCACTAGCATAGTTTACTTAGCGTAATGCAAGTGTTGTGTACTCTGCACAATCTAAGCCTGAAAGGAAAAAAATTCTCCAACTGCATGCAAAGTTTCTTCTTCCTCCCCCCACCCTCTCCAGCTCTGCTAAAATTAATAGGACATTCTGCATAAAGCTGTTTGCTGCACGCACTGTTAAAACCCTAGATACACTGAGAAAATTAAAGATTTCAGTTAAGGGCAAGCTTCTTGATGAGATGCAGAAATCAGAGGCACTACAGCACCTGTTTTCTCTAAGTTTCTGCCCAGAAATTTTTCAGCAAGGCTGAATATGCATTTTTCTGAATTCAAGCCACCTTCTTTAGAAAATGAAGACCATTAATTTGGCTGATCTGTAGCTTATTTCATTTAATTTCTTGCAACCTATGAAAGGTCAGCTGTGCTGCATAAAAACAAATGGCTATGCGGCCAACTGTAGAATAAACTAAACATGCACATTTATGAAACATTTTAACCTCAGCAAGGTAGCTACCAACCTGCTTAGCACTAACCAGTTCTTGTTACTTAGTATAGTATTGCTTTAATCCTGACTTCAAATTTATTTAGCCTAAGGGCCCCAACCTTCAGTATTCATCGTGTATTAGTGGCAAGTTTGCTTGATGCAAACCTCACGGCAGTGTCCTGCTTTGATCAGAGGCAGGTATGTCTCTAGTCCCTTGGAATTGCTCGGTTCTACACTAAAAAGAGCCCATTGGGGTTGAAAATGTGATTGACAAGAGAGAACTGTAGGGTTATTAGTAATGGAAGAGTGAGGTAAAATCATCCTAACCTTGCAAAAACCTGATCTTTACTGCTACAGCTGCAACTATCTGCTACTGCCTTTGTGAAAGAAAAGCCTCATTAAGGGGAGGACTTCAGCACTCATCTCCTTTGTCTGAGAAACAGTCTGTCCTCCAAACCCTCCTCCTCTAGGGATGAATAGAAACAATCCTTAGTGTTAAGGAAAGCTGGGAATCTTGCAGATTTGATTTCGGGAATCTTTGCTTTGACTTCCAAAATGATGAATCTCTCTTCTCAGACTTGTGACACCTGCCCCCATGGCTTAAGTGAGCCACTCTGCCGCCTTCTATCAGCGGAAACAGCTGGTTAGCAAGCTGTGCATTTTGGCAGTTTTAAGGACGTTGAAGGGCTTTGCTGTGCAGTTGTGCTGTATGTAAGCCTTCTCCCTTTCCATAGCAGTAGCTAGAGAAGACCATGTCCTCTAGAGACCATTCTAAGCAGGGCCAGCAGCAGTTTCTATCCTATCCATTTCTGCACACGTTTGCCTGTTTTCTTTGTGCAAATGTGTGGTTTGGCTGCCATGCAACTTTTACAGGCAAAGCTTAGGAACTGCTGTCAGGCAGGAATTGTCTACCCTCAAGCAACAGTAAATCAACAGCAGGTATGTTATAAAGCTGTGCTGAGGTAACACATCTTGTTAGCCAGAAAGGCAAAGCAAGTCAAAAAGGAGTCCTGAGGCAGGTGATTATAATGATTAATTTATTCTGGCCAAGCTAGTTGACAACAGAGCTGTATCAGCTCCTTCTATCAAATAAAAATACCACCTTCCAAAACTCACCCTACAAATGACAGAGATAATGAGGCATGGTTTAAAATTAGCCTTAGTTAAGCCCCAAGCTCTTATAGCTGTGCTGCAAGTTTAGTCACAAAATGGTTACACCCCTAAGTGTGAAGACTGTCTGAGGAGCATAAAGATACAAAAGCTGTATCTAAGAATTTATTCCTTCTCTCTGTGCTCTGCCTTCAAACATACTCTCTTTTGCTGCAACCAGCAAAAGAGAGGAACCTTCAGACAAATCTGACATTCAGGAAACCTAGGTTTTATCCTTGCCACAGACTTCTGCATAGCCTTGGGTGGTGTTTTTGCACCTCAGCAATCTCATCTGTAAAATATGTGGGGTAATTGGAGGGAACTTACTCTGCACAGACTGCATTGAGAAAATCCTTCAGGAAAGGTGCCTTAAGAGCACAAATTCTCTTTTGCATCTGTAATTAATCATCAGTTCACACATGAGCTTTAAACTAGAGAAAGCTACATGTAAAAAAAAAGCCACCACCATAATTTAAACACTCTCTCCCTGGTTCAGTGTTTCCCCTAGCTGATCTGTTGTGCTGTCCCTGCCATCCTGAAAACAGAACTGGCCAAAAAATTTAAGGGAAACATTTTCTTGTTTGAAAACAGTTTTGACAAATTCTGAAAGCTTTCTGTAGGAACCACTAGCTTTCAGGAGAACTTCTGATCAAGGGAAATCACCGCAGAACAGAATATGAGGCTGATGCACCACAGCTGTTTGACCAGGGAAGAGGCTGCACTGCAGGGGTTACCAGCCCTAACTACAGCTCCCACAAGGTGCAGAGTAACTCAGGCAAATAGAGATTAATGACAACTTGGAACACATCAGCTTTTTTGTTTGTTGGTCTGTTTGAACTAGAATTTTACAGTTCAGGAAACACTCAGATTTATCCACTTTTTAAAAGTAGATAAAGCAGAATAGGGAAGGAACTCATTCACATGCAAACATCCCTGGCCTACTTCCAAGTATAAACATGCCCTTCACAGATCAAGGGTTTCACACCCCGCCATCCTGTGTTCTCCAGCTTTTTCA